CCACCGGCTCATAAGGCTTGCTCCTCTTGGAAGGAGTTCGCCTACCGCGGTCCGGAACTGTGGAAGATTCCGGCGCGGTGTCCGGCACAAAGCCAGACTTGGAGCCCTGGGGGGGCCTTATCCCCTTCACTCCTGGAGTCCGGGAGGTTGCCTTGCGGCCCCTCCGGGACCACCTCCTCCTGCCCCGGAGCTTGTCGCGACGCCACTTCGGCGTCGTCTGCAGTGCGGGGGGAGACAGCGGGCGGAACTGAGTTCACGTCCGATGAGTCCAGGGAGCCGCCCGACGATTCGTCGAATTCGGCCCGGGGCGGACTGCATAATTACAGTCGACATTAGTAAAGCTATGCAACAAAGGAACATCATGAGTTACTCTGATGTCCGAACTTATGATTTCGCTGGACGCTTGGCCCTGTTTGGCCACTCCTCTTCGCCCTCTTCGGCGTCGGGGGAGTAGTCCGGCGAAGGGATCTTCCTTTTCCTAGACCCCTCGGCCTCCCCCGTTGGGGCGGCCTTCCTCTTTTCTCCTCCCTCCGCTGGGGGGAGAGTTTTCTTCTCCTCCTCATTTTCACGGGAAGAGGGCGTCTCGGACTCGTCAGATGACGAGTCCGACACCACCACGTTGCGGGCACTCTTTCGAGTCCCCGTGGTCTTCTTCTTCTTGGCCTTCTTTTCTGGCACCACATAAGGCGCCGGAGCCAGCAGCTTCACTAGTAGAGCTGGGGCTGGGTCTTCGTGCAGCGGAGCCGGATAGTTAATCGGTCCGGATATCGCCCGCCAAGCCTGTCAAAGATAAGGGAGTTTAGATCCCGCATAGAGTCAAACTATGAAAAAACTTAACATCTTGTAAAAGGTGAAAATAGCTTACCTTGCTAGCGTGACGCTGCGAGCTGTATCCGTGGTCCTCGGAAGCGGATGCGGGAGCCTCGGCACCCTTGATTAGCGCCTTCCAGACGTCTTCATACATCGTGTCGAAGAGCCTGTTAAGGGTTCGGTGCTATGCCGGGTCGAACTCCCACAGAGTAAAGTCCCGTTGTTGAAACGGGAGGATTCGGCGAACGAGCATGACCTAAACACATTTACGAGCCTGATTGGCTTGTTTACCAGGGACTGGATGCATGTCTTCAGTCCGGTCACCTCTTCCTCGTTACCCCACGATAGGCCCGTCTCTTTCCAGGACATGAGCCGCGTGGGGGTCTGGATCGGAACTCGGGGGCTGCGATCCATTTTGGATCGCGTGGCTCGGTGATGTAAAACCACCCGGCTTGCCACCCCTTTAGGGTCTCTACGAAGGAGCCCTCGAACCATAGGACGTTGGCAATCTTGCCCGCCATGGCGCCTCCGCACTCCGCCTGGCTGCCGCGCACCACCTTGGGCTTGACGTTGAAGGTTTTGAGCCAGAGGCCGAAATGGGGGCGGATGCGGAGGAAAGCCTCGCACACGACGATAAACGCCGAGATGTTGAGGATGAAGTTCGGGGCCAGATTGTGGAAATCCAGGCCATAGTAAAACATGAGCCCCCGGGACAAATGGGTGGAGTGGAAAACCCAGTCCGCGGAGGAAGTGGGAAAGGAATACTACCCTCTCATGGGGCCTTGGGGTGGGGAGAAGCTGCCCCTCCTCGGGAAGCCGGTGCGTGATGTCTTTGGACAAGTATCCGGCCTTCCTTAGCTTTTTGACATGGCCCTCCGTGACGGAGGAGACCATCCACTTGCCTCCCGCTCCGGACATTGCTGGAGAAGGTTGAGGTGGGAAGTGCGGGCTTGGGCGCTGGAGCTCGAGTGCGCAGGAGATGGATAGGCAAAGGAGGAAGAAGGCGTAGGTAAAAAGGTGGATCCTTATCCCCTTATATGGGCGGATGCGGTTGTGCGTCCCCACCAGCCTAGTAAAACTCGCTTGTCTCCTAAGCGCCGTGATAAATGGTGCGGTTGGGTTACCCACGTTCGTATTGATGAGAATCCCGTAAAAGGGGTACACGATCTCTGCTTTGACAAGATGTGCCAAGGAAACCGCCTCGCGAAACATGCTGAGGTGGAAAAGTAAAAAACGATTCGAGTAAAGGACTCGGCCATAGTGTGATAACACACTGCGGAATACGTCGGCAGATTTGATTTGTGTCAATATTATTCTCTCTATGGCAATATATGGAAACTTATTTTGCAGAGCCGGACACTACTCTTGGTGTTTACAATCTTCTACGAAGGACTTGGAGGAGGAACCCGCCTTGCAATGCCGAAGACAATCTGCGCGCCGGACTCGTCGTCATTGAAGCCTGGTTCAGGGGCTACTGAGGGAGTCCTGGATTAGGGGGTGTTCGGGTAGCCGGACTATACCTTCAGCCGGACTCCTGGACTATGAAGATACAAGATTGAAGACTTCGTCCCGTGTCCGGATGGGACTTTCCTTGGGGTGGAAGGCAAGCTTGGCGATGCGGATATTCAAGATCTCCTACCATTGTAACCGACTCTATGTAACCCTAACCCTATCCGGTGTCTATATAAACCAGAGGGTTGTAGTCCGTAGGCAATCAACTCCATACACAACAATCATACCATAGGCTAGCTTCTTGGGTTTAGCCTCCTTGATCTCGTGGTAGATCTACTCTTGTACTACCCATATCATCAATATTAATCAAGCAGGAGTAGGGTATTACCTCCATCGAGAGGGCCCGAACCTGGGTAAAAAACATCGTGTCCCTTGTCTCCTGTTACCATCCGGCCTAGACGCACAGTTCGGGACCCCCTACCCGAGATCCGCCGATTTTGACACCGACACCTACCATAATATTCTGCATGTGATAAAACGGTACTACTTTGATCTTTAGGTTGAGCTGATTTTCAACCTCAACTTTATAGATCTTCAATTTTCCCAAACCTTCGGATCGATGACTATAGGATAAATGTAGCCATAGCGAGAGAAATCATCGGTTAAGGTGATGAAAGAATCGAAAACATCCACATAATTTACATTAAAAGGTCTACATATGTTAGTATGAATAAGTTCAAGGACCCGTGTGGCTCTTACTGCTCAATTCTTGGTTGTTTTCACGTCCCTTCATATAGTCAATGCACTTTCCTGCATCAGAGAAATCTAGCGGATAAAGTATTTCTACTATGATCATTCGTTCCATTCCCCCTTGAAATGTGACCTGAGCGATGATGCCACAATTTTAGAGAAGGATTGATACTTCTCCCATTTTTGTATGATTACATTTATTCACATTCATTTCATGGAGACTCACACACATAGGACAATTGGAAAGATATGTAACATATAAAGTTTGCCTTGTCTGACAGTCAGAATCCCTATGAGATCCAGTTTGAATAGCAGGCGGTTCAGGTGCATATGCCTACCCTGAGTTAGCAGTTTTGAGTAGTTTGTTCGCCCAACTCGTCCCTTTGGTCCCTTGCTCGCTCGAACGCCCGGTTTGTTCGATTGCACGTCTTTTTCTTTCTTAAGGGAAACGTTTTACGTCGGTGTGCCGGCCCAACGTTGGGCCGGTCGTGTGGCTCGCTCGCTTCATGCAGTATCCATACACATCTAGGCGTGACGCAGTCGATCTTATCCTTTTGCACCACGATCGCTAGCCACTCGTTCCCCTTCTTGATTAGACGCGCGGAGGCTCCCTCCTTCAACCTCCTCCTGCATCAGCCGCCATGGGGAAACTTCTCTTCTCCCATCTCCCGTTAGACAACCCCTCCCCAATCACCTATCTCCTCCCTCTCCTTTCCCCCACATCTACCCACGTCGTTGGGCTGTGAGGCGGCGGCGACATAGATGATGTGCTTCGATGTGGGGCGGCCGGCCATGCATGGAGACGCACAGCATGGCGAGCTGGAGGTGTTACTGTGCGTGGAGACCTTGGTCGGAGATGCTGGAACCAGCCGGCTGGGAAGCTGCGACAGGCAGGTGATTATGCTGGAATCAGACGCGCGTCGCCACATGAAGCTTTTTTTGCTGGAACCAGCGTTTGTTTTTGCTGGAATTGGCTCGTACTATTGCTGCAATCGGCACTTGTGTTTTTGGCTGTTGATTTTATTTTGCTGGAATTGGCTCTTATTATTGCTGCAATCGGCACTTGTGTTTTTGCTGTTGATTTTATTTTGCTGGAACTGGCTAATTTGTTTGCTACAATTTATTATCCAAGTTTTTTGCCGCTGAGATTTTTGCTGGAACCAGCCTATTCTTTTGCTGGAACTGGCTATTTTGTTTGCTACAATCGATTATCCAAGTTTTTGGCCGCTGAGATTTTTGCTGGAACCATCGGTAAGTTTTGCTAGAACCAGCAAACCTTTTTGCTTCAACCAACTACTGAAGTTTTTTGTTGACATGGCGGTGCAAGACCAGGTGAGCCGGAGACGAGGACGCCGGGATGCTACAACCATGGTGGTTGTATGCTGGAAGCGGCATGTGTTCAAGCTGCAGGTGCTACAACGGCGACGCCATGCTAGAGGGTCGGATGCTACAAGCTCCAAGGAGGGTGACCACCGGGCGACGAGATCCATTTGTTTTTGCTAGAACCTTACATTGTTTTTGCTGGAAACGTGCTTTTTGTTTGTTGGAAGCATGTATATTTTGGCTAGAGGAGGCCGACCAGCCGACCACCAGCGACGATGGCGTCAATCGGCAGGCGAGGCAAGCAGGCCAGGGTGGCTGGCGAGCTGGTTGGGTTCTCGGGAGACCACGGACTGCCTGTATCACAGGCGCCATGGCTATTTTTCTCTTTTTTAACGAAGCAGTTTGGGGAAGGAGGAGGCCATCGTGCAGTTGTAATTGCACAAATCGTATGTGATTTTCGGCCGGCGCGGGCGCGCCTAGTAGTGCCCTTTTCTTAATTGGCGCTCACACACATGTACACTTGTTTCCTCGCTTTTGGCTATCTAAAAAAGTGGACTAACAGTTGTTTCAAAATAAACTGTGAAATAAGAACATGTTCACAAAGTAAAAAAAGAAAAGTTCACGCAATCTCCAAAGTAAAAAAGAAAACCTGGCTAGCTACTAGTCTAGTGGAAAGGCGCTCGGACCACCGGAACAAGCAGAAGGTCACGGCGCAGCCGCACGGTGACTCCCATCTTCTCCGTGTAAGACATATGATTTGGGACTGCACGACACCCCTAACCTGGGGTCTGGCTATCTCATTATATAGAAGTACCCAAGGGGTACAATACAACGTTACAGTACATGTATACAAAGGCGACATGTATATACAGTCTAACACCCTCCCTCAATCTTAACTATGTCCTGAAGTACAAAGCAAGTTAAGATTGCACCTATAGCCTACAAACTGTGGTTTTGGAAGAGGCTTCGTGAAGATGTCGGCAAGCTGATCCTTTGATGAGATGAACTTGATACAGAGTAGCTTCTATGCAACACGTTCCCGAACAAAGTGATAATCCACCTCAATGTGTTTTGTCCTAGCATGAAACACCGGGTTAGAAGAAAGATATGTAGCACCAATGTTGTCACACCACAGGACCGGAGGACGAGCTTGAGGGACACGCAGCTCTCTCAACAGAGATTGTACCCATATGATCTCAGCTATCGCATCAGCAACAGCTTTGTACTCAGCCTCAGTACTACTGCGAGACATTGTTGCTTGCTTGCAAGCATTCCAGGCGATCAAGTTAGGACCCAGAAATACCGCATAACCCCCATGGATCGCCTGTCATCAAGACTACCAGCCCAGTGTGCATCAGAAAACGCCGAGAGTTCATACGCCGGTGTAGACTGAAGAAGCAAGCCATAGGAGGCAGTAAGGCTGACATAGCACAAGATACGCTTCACAGCTGACCAGTGAGACGTCCTGGGTGCATGCAGAAACTGACAGACGCGGTTGACTGCATAGGAGATATCAGGCCTGGTAATAGTAAGGTATTGCAGACCACCAACGAGACTGCGATACTCAGTAGCATCATCAGACGAGAGGGAGTCACCATCAAGAGCAGACAACCGATTAGTGGCAGACATCAGAGTGTTAACATGTTTGCATTTGAGCATTCCAGCACGACGCAACAAGTCCAAGGAGTACTTCTTCTGAGTGAGAGTCAAACCAGCAGAGGACCGGGAAACCTCAAGACCAAGAAAAAAGTGAAGAGCACCTAAATCCTTGACAGCAAAATCATTACGGAGAGCAATCACAAGGCGATCAGCACCAGTAGTAGATGAACTAATGAGAATGATATCATCAACATAAACCAAGAGATACATCGTAACCTCAGGACACTGTAGGGGAAACAGTGATGTATCAGCAGTGGAGGGAGTAAACCCAAGAGCCTGAAGAATAGAGCCAAGGCGAGCATGCCATGCACGAGGAGCATGTTTGAGTCCATACAGGGCCTTAACCAGTCGACAGAGATGATGAGGCCGTGTTGGATCAACAAAACCAGGCGGCTGACGCATATAAACCTCCTCCTCCAGAATGCCATGGAGAAAAGCGTTCTGCACATCAAGCTGACGAAGGAACCATTCGCGAGTAACAGCAAGAGACAATATTAATCGAATGGTAGTAGGCTTGATGACTGGACTGAACGTGTCTTCATAATCAAGACCATACCTCTGTTTGAAGCCCTTGGCAACTAACTGTGCCTTGTAGCGTTCAATGGAGCCATCAGCATGTCTCTTGACTTTGAAAACCCACTTGGAATCAGTGACGTTGACACCTGACACTAGAGGAACAAGATGCCAAGTGTTATTCTTTTGTAGAGCCTGAAACTCTTGTTCCATTGCATCACGCTAATGAGGAATACTCAGTGCAGCCTGAAAGTGACGAGGCTCTGTAGTGGGGTCGGCGGCAGTGTGAGCCATGCACGCAGCAAGCCACGCAACCGTCCCATTCATGCACTCCTTTGGACAAAATACACCAGATTGGCTCCTTGTGCGAGGACGCAGAGTGACAACAGGTTCTGTCGGCAGAACCGGTGCAGCAGAGGATGTCGATGAGGATGGTACAAAGTCGGGCTCACAGGGGACCGAAACGGTGCTGGTCGGCGACCCTGGTAGCAAGACCGACCCGACCGGTGTAGGTGACTGGACCTCCGGGCCAGTGGCAGCAGTAGCCGGCCCAGGCGAGGGGCCCGCTAGTGGCCCGGGCGAGCCACGCGAGGCTAGCGAAGCCTGCGAGCCAGGCGAGCTAGGCGAGGCGGCCGCTGGCGTGGACGCGGCCCGTGAGCCAGAAGAGCCTGGCGCTGGCGAGCCCACCGCCTACGGGGCCAGCGTGGGGCCAGGCGGGGCCAGCATGGAGCCGGACGGACCCGGCTCCCGCGAGGCAGCCTCCGGTGGCGAGATGAGAACGGGTTGGCGAGTGCCGCCTGGTATGCATGACGCATGCACGTCCCGATCAGGAGGATCATCCGTGACCTATTCATCAAACAGCTCGAGCCGAGCACCGCATCCAGTACCTGCAGCATGATTAGGGAGCAACGCAGGGGCATATGCAACATCCACAAATTGATCAGGCGTAGGTGTAGACATGGACACTGGTGGTGTAGAAGTGGTAAGGTCAGTCGGAAGTGCACGAAAAGGGAATACATTTTCATCAAACACAACGTCACGAGAGATGTAGACGCGGTTGGTAGGAACGTGTAAGCACTTGTACCCTTTGTGAAGAGAACTATACTCGAGAAAAACGCACTTCTTAGACCGAAACTCTAGCTTGCGCTTGTTGTATGGACGGAGGTGAGGCCAACATGCACACCCGAACACTTTGAAGAATGTGTAGTCTGGAATCTCATTAAGCAGAAGTTCAAGTGGGGTTTGCATTTTCAGGAGTCTCGAGGGAAGCCTGTTTATAAGAAAACAAGCTCTGGAGAAAGCATCACTCCAGAACCTAAACAGGACGGATGCATGAGCTAGCAAGGTTAAGCCAGTTTCAACAAGATGATGATGCTTACGCTCGGCAGTACCATTCTACTGATGTGTGTGAGGACATGACATGCGGTGCGAAATCCCAAGTTTGTTAAAGAACGAGTTGAGGTTGTGGTACTCACCCCCCCCCCCCCCAGTCGGATTGGACATGGATGATTTTCTACTTAAGAA